TAAATATCCCCTATTACATAAACGTCTCATCTTAAATTACCCTCCCCATACAACATACACAGGGGTGCTAATCAAATTTTTAAGTTCTTAAAATGTAAGAGACCCGGAGTACTCTTTACGGAGAAATACAGTAGTTTATGATGTGATTTTGGATGTTTTCAAACGCCAAGGCAAAATAATTAATTTAAGTTTGATTAATGTAAAATATTTGATTTATATTTACTTTAAATAAATTAATAACTACTCCTTGATCTAAGACACGATTTAATGCAATCATAAGCTTTGATTACTTAAAAGTGAAGTTTGCAGAAAAGAGACATACTATCACGAATATTGATAGTTGCAGTTAAATATCATTTATTTTTAATATTAGGAAAAACTATTTTAAAAGTAAAATAAAAATACTTTTTTATAAGGACTCGAGATGTAGATAAGCATTTATTAAGCTCTTTATTAAACGCGACTTTAGAGATATTTCATATGAAAATCAAATTATAGTCATACGCATAAAAAGAATACTTTTTTTTACATAACACGAGTCGAAATTAAAAAAACAAACACAATTCAGCAACAATCGCTGCCACTCAGGCTGAGTGGCAGCGATTGTTGCTGAATTGTGTTTGTTTTTTTTTCAATTTCGACTCCACGGTTGATATTATCCACGGACAATTACGAAAACAAAGCTAAAAACATCAAAAAGTAGCAAAAAGCATTATTTGTTCTTTTTTTGCCTTGACAAAAAAATACATGTAGTTTCGCAAATCCATACAATCCGCAAATTCCAAGCTGGTAGCTATAGACATTTCAATCATTGTTGGAGACATTCAAAAAATACAGAACGAATTTTGCGCGGTCAGAATATTTTTCTTTACGAAACTAAATATTGAACCGCGTATTTTTGAAAGCTTATTAAGGTAATCTTCATTTATATGATTACAGTCAACTCTCTCTATACCGAACTGAACGATTCTAATATTAAAAAAATCATGGAGTGCCAACGCTTTTAGATTTGTTGGTTGCTGCCGATGAATTTATCCAAAGATATCTTTTAGAGCAGCATTCTCAATACATGTTTGAAAATTTCGTTATGATCAATCAAGTAGCTTTCAATACAATTCCTTTTGTCAAACTCCGGTAATTCTTTGCAGAAACTGTATGTTAAAACTCGGCTGCAGTTTTCAATTCAGCGATTTGCAAAGATTCAAGAAACATCAATAATTTCTTGAAGCTTAAAGAGATTGAAATTTGGGAAAAGGTTCTCGCGTGGGGAATCGTTCAAGCATCAGCTTCTGACAACGTTGTTGATTTATCGATTCCAGTGGACCAATGGTTACAAAACGAATTCGCTCAACTCATCGCTACGCTCAAGAATTGTGTACCATTAATTCGGTTTTTTTATATAACTATGTTGATTTCTATAACAAAGTGCCATACTCGGAATTATTATCGAAAAATTTTGAAAGATTTATTAATCATTACTTGGTACCTGAAAGTGAAAAGCAACAAAAGTTACTTCACTCCATCCGCAATTCGCATAGCTCTGTGCAAAAAATTCTTTCTCGCAACCAAATCAATAAAATTCATTCAACGAATAAAAGAACAGGATAGTAAAAATTATTCATTCCACTTTGACTTACTACCACGTGACAGTCTAGCTGGGTTTGCAAAAGAAGATTTCCACCGTTTATGCGATAATAAAGGTCCAACTATTGTTGCTATTTGTGTCAAAAAAAATTATCGATAGTTATAATCCTCTTGGATGGAAATCTCTTAATCAATCTTATTCTGAATTAATGAGCTACGTTTTTATATAAATTTGATTCTGATGACATGGTGGGATCAAACGGAGTTTTAAGTAAATATAAATCTGGTTTTAGTGTATATGAATATGAGCGTACCGGTACAGACAGAGGTCCTTGTGTGACTTGGGTTTGCTTACTTCTCTCGGTAATTATTGTAAAAATCTTAAGAGTTTGGTCTTTTAAGTGAATAAAGGAAAACAATACCTTTTAATATTGAGGATTCTGAAGTTTTTCAAATAGTAAAAAGTGAAATAGAATTTTCAAGTAGCATATCGTTATATAGATATCGATGTCGAATCAACAAGTGTCAGTCTCAGATGAAGGTAAAATCACTATTTGATATTCCTTTTTTGTTAATCTCTAATTCATTCCTATTTTACTTTGATGTTTCAAAACATATTTAATAATAATGAAGAGATATCAATTCATGATTGCAATAAATTTACTCGTTGTCAAAAAAAGATCGCTGCAATGAATGTTACGATTTAAATTATCAACTGAATGGTTTAGCGAAAGTAAAATCGACTGTCTAATAAAAGAATGCATGAAATCAGACGGCATTCAACTGGATCCCTTTTGAAAAATTTTCCAATGTTGAATATCTTGGAACAATTTGTAAAGCATCGTTGCACTATTACAAGTGAGATCGTGAAGATAATGATGATGAATACCGAGTTGTTGTGTTGAAATCATTCCGTGACGAGGTAAAATGAGCAATTTCTAAGTCGATTTTTTGTTTTCTAAAAACTTAAGTTTTCAAAAAGATTCGGACTGCTCTAAAGTTCAGTGATGATATGCAATCTCAAACAATTTCAATCGACCACTCCAACAAAAACCAAAAACCGCAGTAATTCATTCTCATCTTCAAATGGAGCAAGTTTAAAATAAGAATACTAGTAATTATTATTGTTATTATTGATCATGAATAATTTTCACTGACTCGTTTTTAGCCTCAATTTTGGCCTATGAGTAGTTTAGGGGATGTTATAGTTTGGTAGACTGTAAAAAACTAAACTGAGCCAATTCAGTGCAGCTAATTTATTAGTTAATCGTATGACTGCTACGAATATTTGAATTATTTGTTTTATTTTTTATATAAATTTTTGAATTGTGTGAGAAATATTTACATTGAAAACCTCACCTCACCTATATTCACATTATAATGCTGCTGTAATACTATTCTAAAGAATATGTTCTTTAATAGTTTAGACAAGTATTGATACTACCGGATCGCGAATACACACATCAAATCTTCAGGTGTCACACTAAATAAACATCTAACGTTAACGTTAACGTCAAACGATATGTCGATATATTCAAGTTACGAGTTTCAGAGATCGATGAGTTTAACCGTCTCGCAGGAAATTCTTTTTTGATGGGCATAACGATAATCTCCCAATTTTGGTAAAACCCGCCTGGCCCGATTCTATTAGTCTATTTTATTCGCTTCAAAATTCAATGCGATATTCTATTTTGTTATCTCGCTTTTTTTTTCGATCTTAAATTTTCTCTCAAATTCTTCTTAAACAATAGCGTGCATTACGCGATAAATTCTAGAATGATACTTCACAATGTAAGCAAAAAGATAGATATATAGTCCTCATGGACGTTAATAAAAATTCAGAATTAAATTACGTGCAATTCTTCTCCAAAGTCCGTAAACTAGAATAAAATTGTTATGATTGATTGATTGTGATTAGGTCCTTTGATAAAAAAAAAGCATTGATATAAAAACCGCATATTGATTGATTGAAAAGTGCTTTGTTGATTGAATAGTTTAAGGCTTTTAGAAAAAGCAACGATTGAAATATTGTTGATAAACCTGTCACGTAAAATATAAAACCCAAAAACCATCTTACCTAAAAGCCCGAACCATCCAAATTCTCTTCTCTACTGTCATACTGAACGACATCGGCAGGCACAGTAATTAGAAACTAACGAACACCACTCAGTCTATTACACTTTTCTAAAGATCTTGGATCATTTTCTTCATTAGCAGAATATTCTGCAAATAGCGTATTTGCGTAGGAAACAAAGTAGCAATTAAATTGTCTTTTGACGAGTGAAAATACATGTACGTAATAATCATGCTGATCTTTAAAATGCATTTAGAACGAGATATCACGATCAATAACACTGGAACTCTCTTGGCATCAGACGGAAAATAATCAGATGAATTATAAAAACAAGATAAATCGAAAAAATTGGTTTACCAAATGTGCTTCGTTTTAGCTAAATAGCAAGAAAAGAAAGATTTAAGTGAAATAATCAGTGGATATAATTTGTTTCGCGTAATTTCTTATAGAATTTTATTGAAAGACTTCTATTTAAGTTTGAAGCGGAACATCGAGTTTTAAGCAAATAACGAAAAGGATTCGTGTAAGTTTTTATGATATATGATTCGAGCATAGCCTTTTAAATTTTGACGACTCATATTAATCTTGATAAAAAGAAAATATACTTTACATAACTTATTGGTCGATTCATTTAAATGATTTCGGATTTTTAAACTCATCATTTTAATCTGAATAAATACATATTAAAGAACAGTTTAATCAATCACCAAATCAACCTAAAAAATGCACAAAATAGATTGCATAGATGCATGAATTAAATGAATCAAATAAAAATGGCTAGATGAGCGTATGAGAAAAATCATGTTATTGTCTAGTATGGCTCCTTTTTTTTTTTTGCTTTTCCATTTTTTAAGTGATAAAAGTCGATATACGTGAAGTGTATAAACTCCTGCCTGCATACAGTTTGTTTTATTCTTTATTTTAATTATTTTTTTTATTAAAGTAAATTAAGCTGAAGGAGAAAATAATAAATAAGCATAAACTTAGTATTCGAGATTTCTTTAATAGTTACAGTAAGGCTATTTTCAAGTTATTTTCTAATTTCACTAACCGAAAAAAAATGATTGAAGAATCTCCAATTCATATCTACGGCCTAATCATACTATTTTTATTAGTACTTCCCATATTGTTCTGTTTAATTTGGAAATTTATGTTCAAAGATGAATTCGCAAGTCATAATAACTATAGTTTAAACAGATTGATTCGTGTGAAAAAACGGGTACGGGTTCGGAATGATATAGACGAAGAAGAGGCGAGCCTGAGCACAAATTCTATTTCTACGTCTACGCCTACATCTTCTCCTTCTACGGTTTCTCTTTTGGAAGTTGAAAATAGAGCGAGAATGAATTTTGCGAGTAATCAGGTTCATTATAATGATGGACAATATAACACAAGAAATTTCGATTCGCCGAACAAAAAACGTGATCCTTATCTATCACAACAAACTGATCAGTCGATTATTATAGATCTCACTTCGAAAGTAAACAAACTCGAGATTAAATTTAAGTCTTCAAAGACTAATGAAGAAGAATATTTTGATGCGAGCGAAGAAGAGAATTATACTATATACGATAACGACGACGATGAGATTGATGAACATGATTACTTGATGGAATACGAAATGTTTTTAATCGATTGTGCTATGGACAATGATCAAGAATATAAAAAGAGAGAACAAGAACTGAGGCAACAAGAACAATTTGATTCTACTTCTTCGTTGTGCATACCAGTCAAAATAGAATCAAGACATGGTGTGTGCAATAACAATAAAAGTGATAGCGAAAAATTTTCGGCACCTGAATTTAAAATCGACACGTCATATCTGTCACCCCCTGACGAGAATCGAGAAATTATGAGAAAACAATGGCCACAAATGGATGTCGAAAATATCGATCCTAGATACTTGTGTCCACCCGGATGGCATATTCGCCGCATGCAAAAAATGTTTTTTGAACATCGGCGTGAGTATAGAAGTCAAATGAGAGGGTTTGATGTGGATAAAGAGTAATATTTATGGCAAATAAAGAATGGTAAAACGAGTAAGAAAGACAATCTACTTTAGAATTTCATCTTCAAAATATTTGAAATAATAAAATAGAATTTATAGACATATTCTCTTCATTTTCAATATTTCATTCGTATGAAATATCTTTTTTTTTTTGATAAATTCCACCGCATTTGAAACGTAAATCAATAATAAATCTGGCTTTTTAAATTCGAAACATGATATCCAATGAGTGAGAAAAAATAATAGGAAAGAATCGAACGTTTTGGAAAACATGTAGATGAAACATTTTACAGTTTATCATTAATAAATATGACATCAATGGTAATAAGAAAAATTCAAGTACAGCAGTGTAAGACGGTGAATGACCTATAGCCCAATGAAATTTAAAAAGTTGAAATCACAATCTCGTCCTAAGTGATTTTATGACTGATAGCTATAGGTCATTTTGACCAAGGACCTGGTCATTTTTCATCACCGATCTCAAATGCTTAAGGGATTTACGGTACTATCCATCTTACAATCAATTGTGAACTGAAACATTTTGCGTACATTGAAGATGACGATGTCGATTGTCGTCATTTAAAAGTTGGTTCGTAAACCCACTCACACATTGCTGGTATTTTAGTGGGAAACTTTAATGGATTATGCTCAAAACATATTGATTCACGATAACGTTTTTCGATCAGAAAATAGGATTTAAATTTAAGAAAAGAGAAATTTCACGTGCATACAATACGAGTAATGCTTTTTTGAAGCTTTAAATCATTTTCTGTTCGTAAGTTATGAACAAATAGATAATACATATTTATGTACAGTCAAACCTCAATATAGTCATCTCCCATACAATCACAAAATCAATAAGTCACATTTTTCAGTTAGCCACAACCTCTTTAATCACAGTTTTTCATTTCCCGAGAATGTGATTATAGGGATATCAGACTGTATACATTCATGTATCAGTAATGTCAGTGGCACGCAGAATCTAACGAAATAATCAGTAATTCTATTTTACTACCATTTTTTATATATGTTAAATGGCAAAAAAAAATATTATTGTATGTCATAATACAGTGGCCTCCCAAAATATTGTGGACACTTTTAAAATAAAATAATGCAAAAACCAATAAAAAAGCAAGATTTATGATTCTAAGCTAATAGAATCATTCAATTTGATACTAAATTTTATTTACATATATATTTGAACTAGTTATTAAAATCACTTGAAATTTTGATATATGTTTCAAAATTTACGCGAAGAAAAATATTTTATTTTATAAAGATGCAAATATCTTCATACCCAGTAAACCAAATTAAATAATTTTATATCACCTGATCCACCAAGTCAAGACACATTTAATGATATCAAAATTATATAATCTGAATCACTAGATGCAGAAATAGAATGTCTCAAATATACAGTATAGAAATCGGGTAAAAAAATATTTTAAAAAAACTATTTTCTTCAAAAAATTTTATCCTGATTTTGTATGTTATCTTTGAGGTGTGATATCTCTGTATCTAGTAATCCAAATTGAATAATTTTGATATCATTAGATGCTTCTTAACTTGAAGAAATTGCTGATAAAAAATTATATTTAATTTGATTTATTGGATGCGAAGTTATTTGCAACTTTGTAAAATAATATTTTTTCACATAAATTTCAGTTTGATACTAAATTTTATTTTTTATATTTATATATATATTTTTGAACTAATTATTGAAGTCACTTGAAATTTTGATATAATGTACAATATGTTTCGATGATTCTATTAGCTTAGAATCATAAATCTTGCTTTTTTATTGGTTTTTGTGTTATTGTATTTTAAAAACTGACCACAATATTCTGGGAGGCCACTGTATATTTGATATTCAAAAACTAAATACATGTACATGTATATGCAAGTTTTCAATTATACGTTATGGTGCGGCGCATCAAAAATTTTTATGTTCCAAATTCTATTAGGAAATAAATACAAACTTTAATAACCAAGAAGGGCCTATTCTATAATTCTAACTGATTTAATTCTACATGTAGATAGAATTTAGAACATAAATTTGTTGATGAGTTTAGGTGCGACATACGTACATGTATAATGTATTTTCTTGATCCAGTGATGATTGCTAATATACATGTACGTATCATGTATGTACAATGTTAAAAAGTAAATCACATATGATTTTTTAAAAGAGAAATTGCATATAACGATAAATATAAAGGAAATAATCATCATTTGTAACATTAGTCATTTTCGTTGTTCATTTGCGAAGTTGTTGTTTATTAATATCGATATAAAAATCGTAATAAGTTGGAACGAAATGTATGATATTTCAAATCAATTAGAGAATCAACCGAAAATCAACATAATTCAACTTAAAATACAAAATATCAACATAATTCAACCTAAAATACAGAATATCTGATTTTAATTGTTAAATCAATCATTTCTTGGTTACTATACCATAGTATACTTTCAATTCAACAATGAAGTACGTATGCATATATTATATTCATCTTTAATTGTTGTTTTTAAATAAAAATTAGCAAGTTTAATATGAAGGGCATACGTATATTTAACTGTTCGCTCCGAATCACAATTTAGATTAATTTAATAAATATAATTCTATATATTTAGCACTTTCATTTTTTCGAAGCTCAAAAGATTATTTTTTCGCAGTAATTCTTATTAAAGTTGTTGAAATGTTCGCGAACCCTTCGAAATCATTTAAATCAATTTAATAAAAAACACTTTAATCTCTATAAATAAACCCCTTCAAAAAGATTGGTCTGTATATCCATCCACGAGAATCTTTCGAACAGCAGTTTATTCTTTTTCATCACTTATAGCTTGAAATCGAGTGACCCTTTTTTATAGTCATCCTGTAGCTTTATGGTTTAATTATTTTTAGGACTCAATAATTCCATCAAGTTTATTCGAATCGAATAATCGCCGATCGATATTTTAATATCGGTATTTTACCGATACTGTACGATCAAAATGCGTCAATATTATCCAATACCGAAAAACCGAACGTCCTGATTATTTTATTAGAACGGTTGAGAGAAAAAACAGTCTGAGGCGAAAGATTTAATTTATTTCGAACAGGGTGAGGTTAAGTTTTGTGGTTCTACTTCTTAGCACCTTCTATAAAAATCAATCGAATTTGTGTATCAGCATTTTTTTAAGTGTTGATTGAATTTATTCTGCGTTCATTTTCAACCGAAACTTTCAAATCAATATTTCGATTCAGTTTAAGTAAGGCAAAATTAGCTTTTCTTGTAACTTAGCGAACTCAAATGGTTGGAACGCAACCGCAGGATTTCTACAAAACTTTTCAGTTGAAAATCCTAAGAGGTTTTCCAATAAATAGAGTTGAATATATTCAATTAGATCAATTCAATTCACGACGACATATAAAATTGGAATTTGAGTTTCTTAAAAATATTAGCCACTCCTCCGAAAGAGCGGCCGGAAAGTGGTGACCCACAAAAATTGCCTAAGATGCTGACACTAATAGAAATATCACTTCATTTTGGTTTTTAATATTTTGGATACAAGAGAGCGAAATTCAAAAAATACAATTGATTTTCTGTGTAGCAAATGTAATATAAATATATAGCGATAGATATTTAAATGTCTAATTTCTTATCTATATGAAAATTCTATATGAAAATTCTATATGTGTATATCTTAGAGTGAAAGCAGAATCTTTACTTGCTTTCTGAAATCATTTTCTCTTCGTGAAAACAAAAAGGAGCTGAATTCTGGCACTTTTATTTCCATTATCAATAGCTTTCCGATACCACTTCGAAGCCATATGTAAATCCTTCGTGACTCCCCATCCATAATGATAACAATTTCCAAGCACATACTGCGAAACCCCAATATCCGACACGTCATCTTCTTCACACTCTGCTCTCTTCAAATACTGCACAAAATAACGAAACGCTTTATCACGACTCCGCTTCACACCATTTCCTTGATGATAAGCTTGTCCCAACTTATAAAGTGCCACCAAACTTCCATTTTTTGCGGCGACATTGTACCATCGTAATGCGGATGCTTCATTGCGCTTTATACCTTGACCGCCTTGATATGCGTCCGCGAGTTGGAGTGCAGCTTCTTTTGAGCCGCCACTAGCAGCAATTAGGAACCAAACGTATGCAGTTTTAAGATCTAGGGGTGTCCCAAATCCTATTTTATGACACATACCGAATTGAAACATTGCTTCTGTATCTTGATCTTTTGCTTTTGAGTACCAAGTAAATGCAAGTTTCTTGTGATTCACGTCACTAGTATTATTACGATGAAAATTGGCGATTTGAAGTTGCGCAGGTGTATAACCCGATACAGCAGATTTATTGCACCAATAAAAATGGCTCAAGGAATCAACAGTCGTTCCAATTCCATCACGATAACATAGTGATAAATGATACTGAGCAGCTGGATGTTGCAGCGCGGCCCCTTGACGAAATAACTCGTATGCCATCCCCGGATCTCGATCAACTCCAATTCCGTCACGATAAAAAATCCCCATAAAATTGTGTGTATGATTGTGTGCATGAGACGGCGACAAAATTACAGCGTCGTACCACATTTTGTAATATTTAAATGCAAGCAACAAGTTTCTCTCTGTTCCTATTCCATGCTCATACATGAATCCTAGGATCGCTGCTATTTGTGGTAAAGTAGTATTCGTTTTTTCAGTAGGACATTCGGCAGAAAGCATGGAAAATAGCTGTTTAGGTTTCAAATTCTTTTCTTTTAGCCAACTTTCGAATTTTTCGATGGATTTCCGAGGTTTATCGTACGAATCAAGTATTGATAAAAATTTTGTGTATAAATCTTGTCGCAATTGCGGTGTGAGTCTTATTTTTGGATAACATTCGATAGTGCACTTTTTGAAAGATGTCTCCAAGTTGGTTAAATTGGTTTTTTTATCTAGTTCTTCCGATTCAGAAATTTCTTCCATCTATATGTTTCGAATAATTCAGAATAATTAGTCGTAATTTCGAGTCACTTCAAACAATTATTTGCTTTACCATTTTTCACAAGTGAAAACAGAAATGCTGTATTTTTTGGGATGTATGACAATGCCAGTCTGTGTTATTGTTATCGTTATCGTTATCGTTATGCCATATCGATATGCGATTAGCGTTACATAGATAATGATGATAACAGAAGTGATAATTTCATCTTTAAGTCAAAAAATTGTTGATACTCCATACCTAATTATCATCACATTAACAGCAAAAAATATAATACCATGTTGCTTTTAGAGAAGAGTTTAGAAGGGTTTATTTTGAAATAAACAAACCAAGTGTACATTTATTAAGTTTGATCAATATCGATATTGATATGTTGTGTTCCCAATAATAATCGCAATTGACAACTGGGATTTATGCCAAATCAAAATCTATCGCTATCCCCCAGCACTAACGATAACCCTATTCCTTACCCTAACTATAGATTGGACCCGGATCGGGCTTAACCAGGTAAAGATTTGAGCTAATCGGATAAAACCAGGTGGGTCTATCTGTCGGGTATAACCATCAAGTATAATTGTCAAAAGATGAAATGGGAAGGAGTAAAAGTGAATCGATATAGTGCGTGAAATTTCATAACAAAATTTATTTTGTATGCTATATAAGAATTGTACCTACAAGTATAGTCTTTCATTATATTTTAATAAAATTATATTTAAATCAATATGGACCATATTACTATTGAGCAAAGATCACGTATCTGTGCTCTTCTTGATGAAGGATTTTCCTCTCATTATATTGCATCAAAAAAAATATTGCACAATCTTCTGTTATCTATCTTAAAAAAAAAGGTAGAAACTACTGGTTCCGTGAAAGATTTGCAAAAATCTGGTCATCCACGAATTTTAACAGAATGTGATGAACGTAATATTGTATGGCTTATTTCAAGTGGTGAATGCTATGAAAATTCAAAAAAAATTCAAAATGGATAATAAATATAATATAAGTGATAACACTATAAGAAAAACTCTATGTAGTTAATGAAAAAAATCTTATTTAAGTAAAAACCATCGAAAATTATGTTTAGAATTTGCAAAAAAACATAAAGATTGGATGACACATGATTGGAACAAGGTTCTTTGATCAGAGTTAAAATTTATGATATTCAGATCAAATAGACATGAATATTATTAACTTGAAAATAAACTACTAAATGACCATCTCATAAAATCTATAGTTAAATTCAGAGATTATAGTATTATAGTTTGAGGCTATTTCTCTTCCTTTGGCGTTGGAAATATCATACGCATTTATGATACCATGAATCAAGAATTATATTGCGTAATATTAATGGATGGCTTGTTGGAAATCATGAGTTAATACTATTTTTATGCAAGATAACAATCTGAAACATGTGACTAATAAATAATATAATGGTTTGATAATAACAGAATTAATATAATGGAATAGCTATTTCAATCTCCTAATTTAAAGCCAGTTGAACATCTTTGGAATAAGATAAACAAATAAGAATCAAAAATTCCAATTAATAATCAAGATTAACTATGAGAAGCAATTCAAAAAATATAAATTTTGATGAATAATGAATGTTTAACTAGATTAATTGAAAGCATGTCTGGTGAATGGATGATGTAATTAATACTAAAGAAGGATATACTAGATGATAAAGAATAATATGTTTAAATCTTATTAATTTTATTTGTTAGTTATTTAGCAATAGCTTTTTTAGTTTTTATATATTAAAATAATCAAAAGACATATATTACGAAAAATCACATTAATTTAGAGTTTTTGATTTTTATAATTATTAATCATTTTATAAGATTTGACAATAATATAAACTTGAATTTATGTTTTTACAATACACACTCTTATAGTATATTACCAGAAATTTAATGTTGATTATTCAACAAATCAAAGTTTTTATTATTAAATAAAAATTATCATATTTATTAAACATACAATAAATTAAAGAAAAACAAAGTAGTAAATATATAGTTATATTGGTTCAAATTTAAAAATCTACAATTAATATGATGTAATTTGCCATTAACTTCAATAACTTTGTTTATACATCTAAGTAAACTCAAAATTAACTCACACAAAGTTTCCAAATAAATACTTATATGTATATTTTTCTTGTAATATACAAATTAATTCTTGTTTTAATGTAGATAATAATCTACTTTTTCAAATGCAGTGATCCAAAATATTCCACAGGTGTTCAATTGATTGAGGTTAGAGCTTTGATTAACTCAATCCAAAAGTCAAATATCATGTATTAACATTTACCAAGTCATATATATATCAAGATATGATATGACAAATTATCTTGTTGAAAATAATTAGTGAAAATATTAATGTAAATATTTGATTTTATAGTTTCTTCTACTGGCATCAAAGGATCAATCTCATCCCAACTAAAATATCTCAAAATATCATTGACTCTTCACCAAATTTAATAGTAAATTTAATGAATACTTGATAATAAGCTTTACCAGATTTTTATTATACTCTTACTCAGTTATTCAATTCAAAAAGTACAAATTTGAACTCGTTAGATCAGATTATATTTTTTCATTATGCTTTTCAGTCATATTTCTTCCAATACTAATTTAATCAATAAAGTTTTTAATTTGAAGTCAAAAGGAATTTTTTTCTTAGAGTGTAACTTTTAAACTCTATTTTATTTAAATATTTGTAAATGATATTAGTATAATAAGTAATATTAAGTTTGCTATTTAGTTTATTTGTGATTTCATCAAGTGAAGAAAACTAATTTTTTAGAATAATTTATTTTAGTATATGTTTTTTAGAATTGGTTAGAGTTTTTGGCTGATCAAAATATTTTTAGAATGTAAAGAATTGGTTTTTCTATATTATTTAATAGTATTATATACTATTACTTGAGAAATATTGAATTTAAGTACAAGATTTAAACTTTTAATATCAATAAAATAAGCATTGATTATTTGCTTACTTTATTTATTTGTCGACTTCTTTCTGCATATTATAAAAAAGAGAAAAAATAAGATTATTTTTTGTTTATTATTGTGTTTGTATTATTATATATAATACTAAGAAAATTGGCTTTTTAAACTTTGGATTAGCATTTTGTATGATTAATTTCTGGTAATATACTGTAGAAATATATATTTGTGTATAAAGTTATTGAATTTATAAATTTTTCATTTGAATAATACAAAAATTTTGGCAGTTACTATATATAATTGGCTATATTTATATAATATATATATATTTATTCAAATTGATACACATCAAGAGCAATAATTATCCAAACTTTATTTATAACTATAAATAGTGATAATTTCTATTTTAAAAGTATTATATTTGATATATCAAATAATATATTTAATATTTTTAATGATCAAAAACAAAAAATAATAATTAAAATTTTATGAGTATTGTTATATTAGTAACATAAAAATCGTTAATTTCAAAAATAATTGAAAAATACAAAATATTCAAAAATATTCATATAATATCAAAATCCTTCTAAACTAATTA